TCAATTTATATTATTTTGTTTCAAAATTTTATCATTATTAAAATATAATATACTATAAAAACGCACATACAAAAGTACAAAACACACCCAAAACCATGCGTACTACTGTGGCGGAGCGGATTGTAGTTTTCCTTCACAAAAATGATCCGCAAATGAACTTTGATTTGTTTAATAATTTAATTACATAAAACGCACCGCAGATACAAAAACTTGTTGATTGGTGACAAATAAGTGGACCCCACTATAACATCACTAAAACCGCACCGCCTTTGCAAGAAACGCAGCTCCCATTCAAAGCCTTAATGTCTAGTACTAGTTGTATGTAGTTATTCATAACGATTTTTTTTTCTTTCTTACAGCTTTTTCTGAGATGCGCCTTTGACATTTATTTGGAATTAGTTATTAGCACTCAATTATAAATAAATAAAATGCAAAAGAGAGTAAAACTTATACAGAGTTGATGAGAGTTATAAGTTGGATTATATTACTCTCGTTCATTACAAAGTATATATACAATACTTATAGAGTTTGACTGTTTGAGTTATCCTTAGTCCTAATTAAACTTATAGATACTACTTGTAATTTGTAAACGTATATTCACAATACAAAGATACTAATCTTATGGATTTTCTTAATCTCTTGCTCCACAAATTCATGCAGCAACGACGGTTTGATATACTATTTTTTTGGACTTCATGTGTTGTGGTCCAAATTTTGGTCTTTATGAGAAGTTAGGCTAAAATTGGTTTGAGATTGTTCTTAAATTATCACTAGGTGTAGCGGCGACTAATTGCGGCCGTAAAGTATCAGAACGAGCTAGAGCAGGTTAGATTAATAATAGAAGAGATTGGCGAAACCGCTAATGGATCAAAGATTTGGTGACACAAGAAGAGAGGGAAAACGAAACTAAATCTATTAAAGAAGAAAACTATAGATAAAAAAAAATTATCAGAAAAAACTGATAAAAAGACAGATAATAAATGGATTAATCCAAAATCTTTTTTTTAAAAACTTTTACTGTCACACACTCGTTTTTACTTTACTTAAGTTTCCAGCTAAAATTAAACACCAGGTAGATAGTGAATTAACAGAGACGGTTAGAGCTATACCGGAAATTAAACGTAAACCGGAACCCTCGGAATGATTCAGAAGCTTAGTTTCAGTATCACAGCAGAAGCTAGGGGTGGGCATTTTATCCGGATCCGAAAATCCGACCCGATATTTACCCGAAAATATCCGATCCGGATCCGATCCGATTTTGAAAAATACCCATTTGGATCCTTTTCTTCTCTCCATTCGGGTACCGGGTAATACCCGATAATACCCGAGACCCGTAAACGTACCCGAAATATCCGCACAATCTAAACTGACCCTTACCTGCATTAGTCGATTCGATTCCACTATCTCCATTCCCCGCTATTTTCGTTTACATGATCTTCAATATCAAATCCCAAACTGAAAATCTGGAAACCCTCATTCGATTTTCTCATCCGTCTCCTCCATCAGAGACGTCAAGAAATCATTCAAAGGTGATCTCAAATTCTTTTCTCTTAATTCTTTTGATTAAGTCTGCTTTGATTTGCTTTCCGAATCCTGAGTTCATAATTTGTTTTTGAAAAATGTATTGTCATGTTTCTGGTTTTTATGTTCAGTTACTTAGCTTTTGTTTCTTTGATTCAATTCAGTTTGCATTGTCGATACTCGATGTTATTGGATTTATTTCTCAGCTTAGCTTATAATTTTTAGTTTAATTCCAAGTCTTCTTATGCTTAGTTAGTTTAGATCTTCTTCTCGTTCTGTCTCTGTACTTACTAATCTTGTTAACCCTTGTGATTTATTTTCTTGCTTAATTATGAGATGAGATTCAAAGTGATGTATCTGTTTGAGTTAATATGTGACGTTGATGTCTTGTCTTGTTCGAGTGAATATGTGAATTTAATACTTCTTAGTTTAAGGTTTTGGTTCTTAGTTCTTAAGACACGAACAAGTAACTAGTTATTAAAATAGTCAATATTTTTGAACAATGTTTATTTCTTGATCGGTTTGTTTCTGTTTTTGTCTTGTCTTGTTCTTAAGTTTTTTTTTTTTTAGCGTTATTGTGTCTTATCTCTCTGTAACTGTGTTTGTTTTTCTGGTTATTAGCTTATGTTTCTTAGTTTTTTTTTCTAATTGTCTTCATGTTTCTGTTATTTATCAGTTCGATATTGAGTATTATCTATCTGAATTATTATTTATGCTAACTGATTTTGTTTTATTGTAGATGGATTCTTCATCATTTCCCGATGGTGAAACTCAAGATACAGCAGAAACCTTTACCACACAGTCCACACCTAATCAAGGGAAAAGGAAGGAGACAAATGGAGATACTTCTGGTCAACCCAATGAAAAGAAAACAGCGGGTAAAAGGTCTAAAGTGTGGAAACATTTTGATCCACTTGAGGAGGACAAGGACAAATGCATTTGTCGTCATTGTAAAAGAGTTTACGGTTGTGCATCATCCAAAGGGACTTCTAACTTGGGGAAGCATATGTTAACCTGCAAGAAGTTGTTGGCATTTGAAGCAAGTAAGTCTGCAGATACGAGAGCTGTTACTAAGGATGGACGATTGGTGGAAGCAAAGGTTTCAGAGGATATCTTCAAAGTGGCGACTGATGAGTTGCTAGTGTTAGGAGAATTGCCACTTGCCTTCATTGAAAGCATGGCTTGGAGACACTTCTGTAGTCGAGTTAATCTCTACACACCGCATTCAAGAAGAACTGCTACCAGAAACATTGTGAAGATGTATGAGGAGAGGAGAGCGGGTCTTAAAGTTTGGATTGCAGCTAACAAGCAGCGAGTGTCACTTACTACTGACATATGGGTGGCTCAAGCAACAGGTGCTAGCTATATGGTGATTACAGCACATTTCATTGATGCAAATTGGGAAATGAGGAAGCTAATCATCGGGTTCAAGTACATCACGGATCATAAAGGGACCACTATAACAAGAGTCCTTATGGAGTGTTTGGCTGAATGGGGAATACAGAAGATATTCACCATCACGGTGGACAACGCCACCGCCAATACATCTGCCCTAAAGAGGTTTCAGACCCAATTCAGCTTAGTGAGCGATGAGGCATTGGTTTTAGATGGAGAGTTTATGCATATGAGGTGTTGTGCACATATTATCAACTTAATTGTCAAGGAAGGATTGCTAGAGTTAGTTGATAATGTGTGTGCCATTAGGAATGCCGTGACGTATGTGAGGGCGTCTACTAATAGGATCGACACTTTTGATAGCCGTGCTGATAATGCCAAGGTGACTACCAAGGGATCCCTTATATATGATGCAAGATGGATCTTGTTCTATCGTTGATCAGAGATTTCTCTATGAAAAATACGAATCGGAGTTTGAAGAAGGGGAAGGAGAAGGAGTCCTCGACCCGCAACAGATAGAGAGGATTTATTCAATCACATAGTTTGGGCTCCTAAAATATGGCGCCCTCGGGGCTTTTTATTTGATTGTATCGAAAGGCCTAATGAATTGGGATTTCCCTATTGCCGGGTCATTTCGGGGCAAGCGGATCATTTATGATGAAAAGTATGAGCTTCAAGAGAATGATTCGGAGTTCTTGCAGAGGAACCATGCAGTACCAGAGACGAGATAGGTCTTCCAAAGAACAAGGCTTTTTTAGAATAAGCCAATTCATTTGGGACCCCGCAGATCCACTCTTTTTCCTATTCAAAGATCAGCCCTTTGTCTCTGTGTTTTCACATCGAGAATTCTTTGCAGATGAAGAGATGTCAAAGGGGCTTCTTACTTCCCAAACAGATCCTCCTACATCTATATATAAACGCTGGTTTATCAAGAATACGCAAGAAAAGCACTTCGAATTGTTGATTCAGCGCCAGAAATGGCTTAGAACAAATAGTTCATTATCTAATGGATTTTTCCGTTCTAATACTCTATCCGAGAGTTATCAGTATTTATCAAATCTGTTCCTATCTAACGGAACGCTATTGGATCGAATGACAAAGACATTGTTGAAAAAAAGATGGCTTTTCCCGGATGAAATGAAAATAGGATTCATGTAATGTAACAGGAGAAAGGATTCCCATTACTTAGCCGGAAAGATATGTGGCCACGAAATAGAGATTAAGTGGAACGGAATTGACTGGGTGGTAGAGTTGTAGAAACACCTGTTTCTTCCACTTAGCTCCATGGAACAATATGCTACTACTGAAACATGGAAGAATTAAAATCTGAGATCAAAACACTATGTATGGATGGTATGAACTGCCTAAACAAGAATTCTTGAACAGCGAACAACCGGAGCTATTACTCACTACATAAAAAAAAATTTCCATTAATGAAGGATGGAAATCCATTGGAAAATCAAAAATACGCATGTCGGATGAAATTGTTGTTGCTATCTGTTCCAATAACGAATCAACTGAATAACTAAATAAAATAGATAGACCTTTCTCTTCGTCTCAGGTCGATGGATCTTCTCAATTGGAAGATCCCCTATATGGATAATACACATTCCAGTTGACCGAGCCTAATTCTAATTGTTTTGTTCCGAAGTAAAGATATCCACGGAGTGGTTCGCCCTATTCAGATATTCACGACCAAGAAGTACTGGATTCTCTTTAGGATAGGTCCTGAAAGGAGACGGAAGGCTGGAATGCCGCCAGGCGTCTATTATTGAATTCACCCGACCCGATAGTACCAATTTTGGTAACGCCCATCCAGTGCCAAAGTCACTGAATGGGTAAGTCACCAATCCCTAAAACGGACTATGTAATGTACTTTATCTGCTGGGTTACGGGGGCATTTTACCAGAGGTTTAGATTGTATCAATCTACCCTTGTGTGATTCCTGTTGAATCATATACTGCGGGGCGCAGGGCGGACGATTTCAAAGCGGACTCCCCTCCCCATTCATTAGATAGAGAAGATCGCCAAGATTTCGCGATCCGCTGCCGAACTTATTCCATTTCAATATTATGCCTTGAAGAGGACTCGAACCTCCACGCTTTTTAGCACGAGATTTTGAGTCTCGCGTGTCTACCATTTCACCACCAAGGCATCTTGAAAGTGAATCGTATTCCATAAATATGATATCTATCTAGTACGGTGTATTGAATATATGACAACAACATGAGTGAAACGGTCTCAATCCAAGGGAGGAACATCAAATGGACCTAATTTGGGAACCGGAAGAGGTAAGGAGTCCGAAATGTACCTCTGTGACTCCACATTGTGGAAACTCACTTGTAGTGTATAAGATGAACTAGATGGACCCATACTTACCCAAACATGGATTAATAGGTTCTACACATGACTATGAGGACAAACATGAGTGAAACGGTCTCAATCCAAGGGAGGAACATCAAATGGACCTAATTTGGGAACCGGAAGAGGTAAGGAGTCCGAAATGTACCTCTGTGACTCCACATTGTGGAAACTCACTTGTAGTGTATAAGATGAACTAGATGGACCCATACTTACCCAAACATGGATTAATAGGTTCTACACATGACTATGAGGACAAACATGAGTGAAACGGTCTCAATCCAAGGGAGGAACATCAAATGGACCTAATTTGGGAACCGGAAGAGGTAAGGAGTCCGAAATGTACCTCTGTGACTCCACATTGTGGAAACTCACTTGTAGTGTATAAGATGAACTAGATGGACCCATACTTACCCAAACATGGATTAATAGGTTCTACACATGACTATGAGGACAAACATGAGTGAAACGGTCTCAATCCAAGGGAGGAACATCAAATGGACCTAATTTGGGAACCGGAAGAGGTAAGGAGTCCGAAATGTACCTCTGTGACTCCACATTGTGGAAACTCACTTGTAGTGTATAAGATGAACTAGATGGACCCATACTTACCCAAACATGGATTAATAGGTTCTACACATGACTATGAGGACAAACATGAGTGAAACGGTCTCAATCCAAGGGAGGAACATCAAATGGACCTAATTTGGGAACCGGAAGAGGTAAGGAGTCCGAAATGTACCTCTGTGACTCCACATTGTGGAAACTCACTTGTAGTGTATAAGATGAACTAGATGGACCCATACTTACCCAAACATGGATTAATAGGTTCTACACATGACTATGAGGACAAACATGAGTGAAACGGTCTCAATCCAAGGGAGGAACATCAAATGGACCTAATTTGGGAACCGGAAGAGGTAAGGAGTCCGAAATGTACCTCTGTGACTCCACATTGTGGAAACTCACTTGTAGTGTATAAGATGAACTAGATGGACCCATACTTACCCAAACATGGATTAATAGGTTCTACACATGACTATGAGGACAAACATGAGTGAAACGGTCTCAATCCAAGGGAGGAACATCAAATGGACCTAATTTGGGAACCGGAAGAGGTAAGGAGTCCGAAATGTACCTCTGTGACTCCACATTGTGGAAACTCACTTGTAGTGTATAAGATGAACTAGATGGACCCATACTTACCCAAACATGGATTAATAGGTTCTACACATGACTATGAGGACAAACATGAGTGAAACGGTCTCAATCCAAGGGAGGAACATCAAATGGACCTAATTTGGGAACCGGAAGAGGTAAGGAGTCCGAAATGTACCTCTGTGACTCCACATTGTGGAAACTCACTTGTAGTGTATAAGATGAACTAGATGGACCCATACTTACCCAAACATGGATTAATAGGTTCTACACATGACTATGAGGACAAACATGAGTGAAACGGTCTCAATCCAAGGGAGGAACATCAAATGGACCTAATTTGGGAACCGGAAGAGGTAAGGAGTCCGAAATGTACCTCTGTGACTCCACATTGTGGAAACTCACTTGTAGTGTATAAGATGAACTAGATGGACCCATACTTACCCAAACATGGATTAATAGGTTCTACACATGACTATGAGGACAAACATGAGTGAAACGGTCTCAATCCAAGGGAGGAACATCAAATGGACCTAATTTGGGAACCGGAAGAGGTAAGGAGTCCGAAATGTACCTCTGTGACTCCACATTGTGGAAACTCACTTGTAGTGTATAAGATGAACTAGATGGACCCATACTTACCCAAACATGGATTAATAGGTTCTACACATGACTATGAGGACAAACATGAGTGAAACGGTCTCAATCCAAGGGAGGAACATCAAATGGACCTAATTTGGGAACCGGAAGAGGTAAGGAGTCCGAAATGTACCTCTGTGACTCCACATTGTGGAAACTCACTTGTAGTGTATAAGATGAACTAGATGGACCCATACTTACCCAAACATGGATTAATAGGTTCTACACATGACTATGAGGACAAACATGAGTGAAACGGTCTCAATCCAAGGGAGGAACATCAAATGGACCTAATTTGGGAACCGGAAGAGGTAAGGAGTCCGAAATGTACCTCTGTGACTCCACATTGTGGAAACTCACTTGTAGTGTATAAGATGAACTAGATGGACCCATACTTACCCAAACATGGATTAATAGGTTCTACACATGACTATGAGGACAAACATGAGTGAAACGGTCTCAATCCAAGGGAGGAACATCAAATGGACCTAATTTGGGAACCGGAAGAGGTAAGGAGTCCGAAATGTACCTCTGTGACTCCACATTGTGGAAACTCACTTGTAGTGTATAAGATGAACTAGATGGACCCATACTTACCCAAACATGGATTAATAGGTTCTACACATGACTATGAGGACAAACATGAGTGAAACGGTCTCAATCCAAGGGAGGAACATCAAATGGACCTAATTTGGGAACCGGAAGAGGTAAGGAGTCCGAAATGTACCTCTGTGACTCCACATTGTGGAAACTCACTTGTAGTGTATAAGATGAACTAGATGGACCCATACTTACCCAAACATGGATTAATAGGTTCTACACATGACTATGAGGACAAACATGAGTGAAACGGTCTCAATCCAAGGGAGGAACATCAAATGGACCTAATTTGGGAACCGGAAGAGGTAAGGAGTCCGAAATGTACCTCTGTGACTCCACATTGTGGAAACTCACTTGTAGTGTATAAGATGAACTAGATGGACCCATACTTACCCAAACATGGATTAATAGGTTCTACACATGACTATGAGGACAAACATGAGTGAAACGGTCTCAATCCAAGGGAGGAACATCAAATGGACCTAATTTGGGAACCGGAAGAGGTAAGGAGTCCGAAATGTACCTCTGTGACTCCACATTGTGGAAACTCACTTGTAGTGTATAAGATGAACTAGATGGACCCATACTTACCCAAACATGGATTAATAGGTTCTACACATGACTATGAGGACAAACATGAGTGAAACGGTCTCAATCCAAGGGAGGAACATCAAATGGACC